GCCCATTCATGAGATGATCCTGATCCGATCCCGATCACCGGAAGTGGAGTCTTCTCATTGCCCTGATTGATAATGGAGGCTGAAATTATTTGAGATTACGCCATGATTTGGAGAATTGGGATACTGAGAAAACCCTAATTGATGGATGGATTTTTTTTTTTTTTGAAATGGAGTTTGTTTTTCGGAGATGACGATGATCCCGATCGCGCGCCAAACTTGCATCCCGTTGAGCTCATACCTGAGGCACGTTCGTTTTAGTTGTCATTTTGCAAAATTACAATAGTGCACATAGTTTTTCACAAAACTGCAGTGTCTCATTTTTCTCGAAAATATACTCTTTTCAAAACGGCTAAATCCCCATATTGTTATTTTAATTCCACCTCATTTACTAATAAGTTATTTTAATTAGGCAAACATGTTTTAAGACATCTTAATTGATTCAACTTACCAACAATGTCTTTTTTCTCGTCGGCGACCAGTTTTCCGGCGAGAGCTCGTGCGTGACACGTTGTAGGCATCGAAAATTGCCTATAGGTCTCCACAAACGGTTCAGTATTAAAGAACGACGATGAACGTCACTATCCGCTTGGGGGTGTCTCGGCCATGGCCGAGACACCCCAAGGGGTGTCTCGGTTTTGGAGCCGAGACACCCCCCTAGGGGGTGTCCTCAACCAGCCCCTACCCCCCCTTTGTTTTCCTATAAATAGGCCCCTAGGGCCTCCATTCTCTTGGCCTTGGTTTTGGGAGAGGAATTTCAGATCTAGAGCTCTAGCCTTTGAGATCTGAAATTCCAGAGAGGAGCGGCGAAGCCCTGCCGGAGGAAGGAGTCGGGGTTTTCTAAGAGAGCGGCGAAGCCCTGCCGGATCGAGGAGTGAGCGAGCCTTCTGCAGCAAAGGAGTCTTCTTCTTCATTCCCCACCTTCTTTTCCCTTAGTGTTGCCCTTAGCGGTGATACAAAGGAGAGCTAGTGCCTCGTTTTAGCCGAGACATAAGCTTTACACCTCTGAGATCCCACGCGGATCGACGGGGTTCAGAGTTTCTAAAATCCCCCCGCGGATAGACGAAACTCTGCCCGATTTTCTCGGACCAGATCTGAGTGCCCCGGTGGTCCACGGATATCAACATCCCCGTCACAGGCAAAAGACCCACGCAAGCAAGAGATGACAAACAGATCTTGCGTTTGTTTGAAAAGAGTTGTATTTCTTTTGTTTTCATTGTGTACCGGTCTTATAAAAAGGCTATCTTTTTATTTCATTGTAACGATCAAAGTTGTAATGAATGCAGCAATGAATACAGCAACTTTTTCCGCAAACAGACTGGCGACCACAGTGGGAGCCAACGGCATCGCAACCGACGCCGTCGTGACGCAACCAGCACTCAAGATCGGGGTGAATGAAGAACACGAGCTCGATCAACAACGGTTCAAAGAAGGCCTCTCTTCCTCCTCCTCCAGATCCGCCTCTCCAAACGGGTACAGAAAGGTAACCTCTTTCATAAATGATTGCAGGTCCTTCGGTTCAAAAATCCAAGACCCCGTTGCCGCCTCTGCACTTGCACCACGTGACGTCCCCGTGTCGTCCAACGTGGTCGAGATCGCAGATCCGGACTCCTCTTCCGCCGAGGAGATGGCTTCTGAAGACGCTCCGGCATTATCAAAGAGAGCACGACAAAGACAGCGTCAGCGTCTTGCTCGACAGCTGGCCGAGGCTTTGGAGCCGATGGATGGGATCCGCTATAACGTAGATCTAAAATCCAGGCAACGCCAGGAGCAACCACGGCAAACAACCAGCCCCTCCTCCGAAGCAGAAACAAACAAATGGGTTCATGTCAAAAGAACCCGTTCTACTCTCGAGGAGCGAATCCAGAAGCGCCGCGCCTTGCGTGCGCATGCCCGAGCCCTGGTCCAAAAAGCACGAGAAATGCTAAAGGGAGAGGCCGTTAAGAGATCGCCGAGATCCGAACGAGTTTGGATGCCAAAGGCCAAATCAACGCCTAAAAAAAGCAGGTGTCCCGAGCCTCCGGTAAAGCCCCACCGCGGCGTGGATTTCCCCGAGTTCAAGAATCCTCTGAAGGATCGTATCGGTGCTCTACCCGAGAATCGAGGAAAAGCGATTGCCAGGGAAAGCTGGGGATCGTTGAAGGAGCTTCGAGCCAACATCCAGACTGGGGGTCGTGCGCGATCTCCTAACAAATCGATTTCTGCAACGACCAGCTCGGCGATGCACACAAAAAATCAGGAGCCCGTTAAGGTTTCACCCTCACAAAGGTGTGATCCCAAACGTGAGACTCCAATAAAAGCCAACAAGGCAATGATCACTCAAAAGAAAACGCGTCCGACAAACGAACGCGTTATACCTGAAAACCCATGTGAACAGCCGATAGGTTGCTCCGACCGCAACGTCGATGAGTTGTACTATCGGGCTGGGGGTGCGGATGAATCTCGAAAGAGAAACACCCGGGAAGCGGATTCTCACTGTCCGTGTACCAAAATTATCAGGGCAGTATTATCAGCCTGTAGCTGCCCCAAGACCGCTCCACAGAGGGTCTCGATATTCGAGGGAATCTCCGATGGACCGACAAAGCCCAAGTCAAGGCGTTCCCACCAAAGAGGATCGATTGATCGAGATGACGAACTCCCAGAAGTCACCATCAACACGGTCAACAAAGGAAAATCCCCAATCATCTCAGGTGATTCCGACTCTAATTTCTCTTTGGGAAGCAGGGTCAATTCGGGAATAGCTCAGCTTCAGCCAGAAGCCGTCGGATATAACAACGACAATGGAGTCCATGAAGGAGTCCATTCCGATGATGAACTCTCGGATTCCTATTCCGCTCTCGCTTCTGACGAGACAACGTCTAGCATAGGACAAGCTCGAGAGGTGCTCATGGTCAATACAGATCAGATAGCCAAAATCATTGAAGAGGCCCTGACTAAGCAGAAGGAAATCTTCAAGTTTGAAATGGAAGTGGCTATGCAAGAGATGAGACAAATGCACGATCAACGAATCCGAGCTTTGTCGAACCAGCTAGTTGAGTCCGACCGTCGCACCCAGAACGCTGCAGTCAACAGCGAGCCGGAGGTGGTCGAAATCGTCATGGCCAACGCACCACCCAAGAATACTGGGGGTGGCCCCACTAAAATTAACAGCGCTGGGGGTGGACCCACCAGTGATGATAGCGCTGGGGGTGGACCCACCAGTAGTGACAACACTGGGGGTGGCCGTATGATTCCTCTCGAAACTTATCCAAAACAGGATATGGGTGAGGCCGAAAAGATAAAGGAGCTCGAAAGAAAAATCGAAGCCCTGATGTCTGTTCGGGAGGTGAAGAGGACCGGCATTCCGTGTCCTTACCCGAGAAAGTGGGATTCGATCCCGTATCCGGCGAAGTTCAACCTGATCAACTTCACGCCGTTCAACGGAAAGGGCTCGCCCACTCAACATCTGATCTACTTCAAGTCTCACTTGGGAGTAATCTCGGGCAACGAGCCTTTGATGGTTCGGTCATTCGTTGGCACCCTTCGCGGGCCTGCCTTCGATTGGTACCGCCGTCTCAAGCCCGGAAGCATCAACAGCTGGGAGGACTTGGAAGGCATGTTTCTCGCCCATTTCTTCGATGATGACACCGAGGTGTCGATCAGGACACTCTTCGACGAGAAACAAAAAGGCGGAGAGTCGGTGGATACCTTCATCAAACGCTTCCGCAATCAGGCAATGAACTGCAGGGATCCCGTCACGGAGAAATTCCTCTTGCAGACTTGTCAGAACAACCTGTCCATTAACATCTTGGACGTGATGGGAATAGAGCCGCTCAATACCTGGAAAGAGTTGAAGGCTCGAGGAGAACAGGCCGAACGCTTCATCAGAAGGCGGAAGGTCGAGAGAAACCAACCGATGTTTAATCCTCTGGATTCGGATTTCGTACCTCATGATGAAGGGGACGTAACTGCAACGGTTATTGACGATAATCAAACGTCACAACAGCAGTCCTGGGAACAGCACGACAGCTCGGACGAGACGCTCCAAAACGAGTACTCGTTCAAAGACGATCGAAAACAACAAAATCAAGCTCCCGCCCATCACGCATCAGGAGGAAGATGACGATTCTGCGGATCCAACGTACTGCGAATACCACAGAAGGATCCTCCATCCCACCAAGGATTGCTTTGCTCTCAAGAATAGCATCCAGACCTTGGTTGAAGCCGGCGTTATAACGCTAGGGTAAGCCAATTGAAAATGGCAACACTCCAAAGAGTATACGAGTATAAACTGTTTCTCAAGACTCCAAAGAGTATACAAGTATAAACTGCTTCTCATTCCTCCGACCGGTATAAGAGGTTAAACTGCTCCCTGATACTCCAATAGGTATATGAGTCTAAACTGTTTCCCACTTTTAACGGGAAGTTCCTGGAGGATATTACGCTAATATTCTTAAGGATAACCCAGTCGGACAACAAAATCAAACCCAGTTCCAAGAGAGAAGCTGGGGGTGGATAATCCAATGCATCGGGAAGTTCCCGAAAGAATACCACATGGGTATTCTTAGGGATAACCCAATCATTGTGGAATTGGTGAATAAGTCGAACCCTGAAGGTCAGAATATCTCTTCTTATTCTCTAACTCTTATGAGTTATTTTTGTGAGAGGAGATCCAATCTTCTGGTAGGTTAATCTTTCCTCACCAAACCATCCGCTGATCAAATCAAACGACAGTGGACCCACCAACATTCCCATCTGCCAATCATTGGCATTTCTCAGACTCAACGTGCTAGGTCCTAAACGCCTAACATTAAAGTCCCCCTTTGAGTGGTAATATGGGTTGGCACCTTCTTTGCTACCCGTATCCCACTCTCTTTGCTTTCTGGTCAAACCTATAAAAGTTAGGGCCAAAGCCAAAATCCCCTCTCGATTCCTCCAATGAACGAGGCCAAAATCTCCTCTCGATTCCCCCAATGAACGAGAGGTCCACTTTCAAATCGAGTTAGGGTCATCTCAAACTCCTGCTGGGTCAAACCTATAAAAGTTAGGGCCAAAGCCCAAAATCTCCTCTCGATTCCCCCAATGAACGAGAGGTCCACTTCCAAATCGGGTAATCAAACCTTCCGACAGTTAGGGTTATCCGAATTGTTACGATTCTCGGAGTGGAGATCCCACTCTTAGTTTCATCCTTCCGGATTCTGGGGGTGGAGATCCCACCTCGAGTTTCCTTTCCAGCTGTAGATAGAATATAAAATTCTTCCTCTTCAGCACCGGGAGATAGAATATAAAATTCTTCCTCTCCTCGGACCTTTCCGATGCTCGGAGTGGAGAACCCACTCCCAGTTCATCATTCCGGATTCTGGGGGTGGGGGATCCCACCTCAAGTTCCCTTTCCGGCCGAAGATAGAATATAAAATTCTTCCTCTTCAGCACCGGGAGATAGAATATAAAATTCTTCCTCTCCCGTTTCTCAATCTGTCTTTGCTTTTAGAAAAGACACGATTGTCAAATCCGGGCACTCGATGCACGGGGAATTTTATCCCGAAGCCTGAGTAGGGATAAGTCAACGCCTAACACGCGTTGCCGGGTAGTCTATTCCCGTGAGAAAGACGAAGTCTATGTAATCAAAATCATAGCATTAAGTCTAAGGGAAGCAATTCTCTTAGCACAACGTCACATGTGAAACGGGTTTAATAATTCACATGCTAGCCCGATTCAAACGGTAATCGGTAAAGGCACATCAAACCCGTTGATGGCTGGGGGTTTGCCAAAAATCCCAAAGCCTATGTCTAACACGCATTGCCGGTTAGTCCTTGACCGTAAAAAGGACAAAAGACCACATATTCAACATTGTGGCAGGTTGTTATTAATAACACCATAATCCGTGCCTCACACGCACGGGGAATTTTATCCTGAATCCTAAGTAAGGATAAGTCAGCGCCTAACACGCGTTGCCGGGTAGTCTATTCCCGTGAGAAAGACGAAGTCTACGTATTCAATATCGTAGCACTAAAAGGGTTAACTCTTTTAGCTTAAACGTCACATAGGAGCGGACTTAAACAATCCGCATGCTAGCCCGACTCAAACGGTAGTCGGTAAAGGCTAATCAAATCCGTTGAAGGCTGGGGATTAGCCAAAAATCCTAAAGTCAACGCCTAACACGCGTCGCCGGGTAGTCTATTCCCGTGAGAAAGACGAAGTCTACGTATTCAATATCGTAGCACTAAGAGCGTTAACTCTCTTAGCACAACGTCACATGCGGAACGGACTTAAACAATCCGCATGCTAGCCCGACTCAAACGGTAGTCGGTAAAGGCTAATCAAATCCGTTGATGGCTGAGGATTTGCCAAAAATTCTATAACTGCGAGTCATTGACGCATCAACTCCCCTAGTTGGTCTCGTGACTTGAGCACCCAACAAATTCAGGATAAAATCCACACATGCAGATGAATCAACTTTAACAGTTGGTCCTGCAACCCCAACATTCGGGACCGCGATGCTCCAATACCTTAAGAGCTTAAACTGTGTATACTCCAGCAAACGTACGAGTATAAACTGTGTTAATGGCGATCCGTAAACCCTAGGGTCAACGCCGGTCAACGCGTAACCCTAGGTCAACGCCAAGCAACGCGTTGCAACAAAAGTCAACGTTCGACGATTCAAAACCCTAAGGGTCAACGCCGGTCAACGCGTAACCCTAGGTCAACGCCAGTCAACGCGTTGCAACCAAAGTCAACGTTCGACGATTCGAAACCCTAGGGTGGACGCCGGTCAACGCGTAGCCCTAGGTCAACGCCAAGCAACGCGTTGCAACAAAAGTCAACGATCGACGATTCGAAACCCTAGGGTCAACGCCGGTCAACGCGTAACCCTAGGTCAACGCCAAGCAACGCGTTGCAAACGAAAGTCAACGTTCGACGATCCGAAACCCTAGGGTGGACGCCGGTCAACGCGTAACCCTAGGTCAACGCCGGTCAACGCGTTGCGACAAAAAAGCCAACACACGGGGATCCGAAACCCTAAGCCAGCACAATGTGGCGGAGGTAGTTCAAAGTCAACTCAATGACACGAGCCAAACTCAATTCATCAGCTGCAGACTCGAGACTCCGACGACGGCCAGACGATAAACGCAGCGCCGGAAGAACCTCGGCTATTCGTCAAAGCATCGGATAGATCGAAAATCGAAAGAGTCAAGAGTTGAAGCTAACTACGCCGACTGAAGGCCAGATCAATCACATCCAAAGTATTCCAGCCTCTTCTATAAAAGAAACGAGTCAGGAACACTTTGGAGGGGGTATCTGTAGGCATCAAAAATTGCCTATAGTTCTCCACAACCGGTTCAGTGTTAACGAGCGACGATGAACGTCACCAGAGCTCTAGCCTTTGAGATCTGAAATTCCAGAGAGGAGCGGCGAAGCCCTGCCGGAGGAAGGAGTCGGGGTTTTCTTAAATAGACCCCCTTACCTCATTTGGAAGGGAGGATTTTTGGAGAGCCTTGGCGAAGCCCTGCTGCAGTGGAGAGTGGCCGTGAGCTTCAACAAGAGGAGGAGAGGTCTTGACCAGTGAAGAGTGCCCGTGTGCTTCAACAAGAGGAGGAGAGGTCTTGATCAGAGCCTTCATCACCCGTCCGAGCCTTAGTATTAGCCTTTAGCGTTAATACTAAGAAGAGCTAATACCTCTCTTTAGCCGAGGTATACGCTTATAGCTTCTAGATCTCACGCGGATCGACGAAGCTCTGCTTCTATATCCCTTCGCGGATAGACGAAGCTCTGCCCGATTTTCTCGGAACAGATCTGATTGCCCCGGTGGTCCACGGATATCAACGGCCCCGTCACAGGCAAAAGACCCACGCAAGCAAGAGATGACAAACAGCTCTTGCGTTTGTTTGAAAGGAGTTGCATTTATTTTGTTTTCATTGTGTACCGGTCTTATAAAAAGGCTATCTTTTTATTTCATTGTAACGATCAAAGTTGTAATGAATGCAGCAATGAATACAGCAACTTTCACCGCAAACACACGTGATGACTTAAACTGTTTTTTAGCTGCTGATGTGGCACGGATTTTCTGACGTGACAGTGTTTAAAGGCGGGAATTAACCCTCTAAAAATCCCAATTCACCCAAAATAGGATAGATTTGTGTCACATCAACAGCTAAAAAACAGTTTAAGTCATCACGTGCCACGCACGTGACGAGCTCTAGCCGAAAAACTGGTCGCCGACGAGAAAAATAGTCTTGTTGGTAAGTTGAATCAATTAAAATGCCTTAAAACAGGTTTGCCTAATTAAAATACCTTCTTGGTAAATAGGGTGAAATTAAAATACCAATATGGGTATTTAGCCTATATCCTTTTTAAAACATGGATTTGTGCGTACACAACAATTCGATTCAAAGATTTTTTTTTTTCCTCCCTTTTTTAATCTTTAACGGAAGTTTACATTCATTCATGTTGGGTGGGAAAAAATAGCTTGTTCTTGTAGTGTTACTCCTAGTTGTATACATTTAACTTGAATATGAATTCTTTCATAAATAAAAAATGGATACATAAATAATAGGGGGTTTCAATATTAGTCCCTTAATCATAACTAGTCCCTCAAATCATGGAAATTGATATTACGCCCCTGAAATCTTAAATTTTCATGAAATTAGTCCCTCAAATCATGGAAATTGCTAGATCCTCAAATCTTAAGTTATTTTCAAATCACTCCCTCCAATCAATGTTAAAAGTAGGAGTCATAATGATTACTTTAAAGCGACTTATGACCATTTAGAAATCTAATAGCAATTTCAATGGTTTTAAGTGACCAATTTGTCCCTATTTGCTATTTTCACTCTTGATTTGAGAGACTAATTTCGTAATAACATAAGTTTGTGGCTATTAATAGCAAACTCAATTATCTGATGGACTAGTTTCAAAAAATTTAAGGGGTTAATATCTAAAAAAACCCTAAATATTATCAGCATAATGCATGCCCTCTACCTTTTGAATCATGTCTTCAATGCCAATAGACCAGTTAAAAGAAAACCTTAATTTTGCAAGAAAGAAGATTACTTATATGATCTATTATTACTTATATGATCTTCTTTTCATCAAAGAAAACCCAATTTTGCAAGAAAGAAGATGCTGTAGAATACATACATATTCATGTGGTTCGACAAGTAAACTATATCCACAGGATAGTGAAGTATTTTTATTAACTTGCACCAGCATTCTTTTGATGAGAAGAACAGAGATTAACCAAACAAAATTCCTCAAATTGATCAGAACATCATAAATAAAAAAAATCGAATAAAAATTGGAATTATTAAACAATGTCAATGACAAGGTTGATACAACAGATAAATAATTTGCCTTGTAACATCCACGTATCTGAATAGCTAGCAACCCGCTCTTTCCTGTTTAGATTAGAAACTGAGCTCTCGACACCTCCCACGCTCACATCAGTGCCCGCTCCTATGAAGTTTTGAAGACATAAGAGGACACATAGATGAGAAGCTAGATTCGAACTCTTCATCAGTATTTCGAATTGATGAATCGATAGTAAAGAAAGTTGAGCTACTTATCGCAATCTCAGTGGCGACTATCAGAAGATTTGAAGGTTGGAGGAGAGGGGAAGCAAAAGCTTCCAACTCTCTTTCATATTTTGGGGGGAGGATCAAAAAGAAAACTTGAAACCACCAGAATTGGCATCAGTAGCTGACTCCCAGAAGCTCTGTTTCTTTTGTTGGGCCAACATCTTCTCTCTGGCAACAAATGCGAGCTGATCAATGGTTCCTGGAAATGCTGCTTCGATGGCAGTCCTGAATTTGTCGTGCAAGTTTACCCGATCTTTTGTTCCTGAGACAAGCTCACTTGCATTGGGCTTTTTCAGAAAATCCAGAACATTTAACAAGTTCCTCCTACAAGAAAGAAACCGACAACAAACTAGTGAGAAACTCTTGTCAGATATCAGAAGTTCATCATAAGGAAGTTCAGATAAAGAGTCAAACACAAAATAATAATAATAATAATAATAATAATAAGTTCAGCTTTTGAATCAACCAGTGCAGGAGAAGATAATTGTATTAAGTTCTTTAGGCGAAATGTCAATATGCTCCTCTAGAAAAAGGAAAGGGAAAAGGTAGTTCCATAGAGAAGGCTTTCCTTCCTCACTCAGGACCTTAATGCCAATAACACTCATAAAAAAAGAGATTAACATATGGAAATGCAAGGTTGGGGGAAAATTAGGAAAACAGATTTGGAGTGAGGTCAGTATCAGCAGACTGTCTCCACAGGCACCCACTAACCTCTATGTATGGCTCGTATGACAATTTTTGGGTACAGCAGCATGCAACAAAATACTTCGTCATATATCCCTCTCATCCACAAGGAAAAGTACGCAGCAGGGTCCAGCCTATAGCATCAATGGTTTATGCAGTGGGATCGAATCTATCGTATTAGTGGAAGTTTATTCAATAGACTTAGGGATTTGTGCACTGATGCAAAGGTGGACAGCACTTGGTGAATCACTAGTGCTAATGGCCAGGAGAACAGGACACTTTCTTCCTCCATAATCTACCAAGTGTCCTTACTGCACTTATATGTCTCTTGCATAACATTAATGCTTGGAAGGCAGTCAATGCAGTTCAATAACTCACATCTCATGCTCATGGAGGTGATTGCTCCTCTATAGAAGGCCAATAGGTCTTAACAGTTTCCTTTTCTTCCTTTCTGCTAGCTGTTGACCTTTGCTCTTTCCTTCATCTATTTGGTTCCTTCTCCGCTCCTTTCTTTTTGCTCCATTTGCAGTAAGTTGTCATTTCTTAGCAATAACACTATTCCATACTGCTCTTCGATGCATCTCCATTATCTTATCTTATACTGCTCTTTGATGCATTCAAAATGGCATGAACTTAATGACATAAATCTTTAAGCATTAGTTATAACAAACTTACAGCATAAAGGCACAACAATGCAACAAGTATAAAAGACAAGCACATAAATGTAAAAGCTTATATAGAAGAAAATATGAAAGATAATGATTACCAACATAACAGCATTGATAAGATTTGTCTGCATAGGAACAAATGATTACAAAGTCATATAGCTAGCCATCAGTAACACCATCATCACTGAGGCTTTCTTCCTGTCAATACATGGGGTTTTGTCTATGGAACTAAAATCAGGACCTACAAAGGAACGGCTCATGGATGCATGAAGCAAACATGATACAATGTTGGGTTCAACATGGTTTATCATCTTCTTGGGAAGATTGGATAGGATTTGATGTGATCTGCCATCAATTTGAACTTGATTTCTCTAATTTGGAGACAACATAAAGAAGCAATAGTTATAGTAACCACATGACAGCTACAGTAGCCACATGATACGTTGTTGGGTTCAACATAGTTTAAGTTGGTTTGGAATTATGCCCCTAATGAACCCGATATAGTTTGTTTAAATTATTCCAGAAAACGTTTACGTCATTCT